ATAGATCCAAAAAACCCAAACAAGGCGTTAATGCGCCCCCACCATCCCATGCGCACAGTAGAGGAGGTGGCAGCACAGATGTCAGGCGCTACCATATTCTCTGTACTCGATGCACAAAGCTCTTTCTGGCAAATCAAACTGGACTCATCTCTCCGCACAACATTCACTACGTCTTTTGGCAGATTCAAGTTCCTGAGGATGCCCTTTGGCATCAACACAGTCCCTGAGGTCTTCCAAAGAGCCATGGAACAAATCTTTGCGTGATGCCCATGTGCCATAATCGAGGATGACATCATCATTGGCGGCAAGGGAGTCGAGGAACACGACAAAAATCTTAAGAAAGTGTTGGATCGAGCCAGACATGTAAAACTAAGACTCAACCCAAAAAAGTTTGGGCTCAAGGAGGTGAGCTATGTCGGACATGTGTTTACGGAGGACGGACTCTGAGCTGACCCAGCAAAAACCACAGCAATACGGGAAATGCCACCACCAGAGGACAAAACAGCTCTCCAACACTTCCTTGGAATGGCTAACTACTTAGGAAAATTCATCCCAATCTTGAATGAACTATCAACACCACTACGCCGACTTCTGCACAGGGATGTGGTCTGGAGCTGGACACAGCACCACCAAGCGACTTTTGATGAGCTCAAAACATGCGTCACCAGCCCACCTGTGCTCTAATATTACAACGTGGAAAAACCAGTGACCCTCACCTGCGACGCATCCCAGCATGGCGTTGGAGCAGCCTGCCTGGCTTACGCATCACGCACACTGACTGAAACAGAGATAAGATATGCGCAGATAGAGAAGGAACTGCTCGCAGTGGTGTTCGCCTGCTACAAGTTCTATGACTACATCTACGGCAAGCCGGTTGTGATCGAGACTGATCACCAACCGTTGGTCACAATCCACAACAAGGATTTTCACACTGTCCCAGCACGGATGCAGCGTATGATGTTGAGAAAATTCAACCTGACTCTCACCTACAAAAAAGGGAAACAACTCTATCTAGCCGATACCCTCTCACGTGCACCAAGACATAGTGCCCCTCCTCAAAAAGAGGAACAGCCCGAATTTGAGGTAATGACGCAAGCACACAGCTGTGGACGATGCCCTTCAGACTCTCACCCGCTTCATCCAAAATGGCTGGCCACGACGTATATCCAGCGTACCGGCAGAAGTGAGACCATTCTTCAGTTTCCGTGACGAACTCACTGTGGAAGATCACATCATCATGAAAGGCAGCGGGGCGGTTATTCCCACAGCTTTGCACCCTGACTACTTGAACGCACTCCACCAGGGACACCCATGATATCACGACATGCGGCATCTGCAACAGTCTGAAGCCCCACCAACAAAAGGAACCACTAAAACCACACACAGTTACTGTTTATGTGTTTGGACCCTAGAGTGTTGCCGTATTTGGCTTGGGTCTCGGGAGAATGGGATAGGGGTGTGTCTCTGGTGGGTAACCTGATGGTACTCACGGCATCCTCTTGTTGGCTACACACATTCATGTCAATAAATATAATTTGCCTTCACCATGACTCTGACTGAGATAAACAACACCTGTGAAGTATAATGTCATGTAATGTCATTTTTGGTTATCCTGGAGTGACACGCGGCGACGCGCTGCCAAGATGGCGTCGGCCAGCTCCGCCCAATTTGGGCTTCAAAACTGCTCTTCAGAAGAGAAGGGTCCAGCGAGAAGGGTCCAGCTGCAGCCCGCAGACATACCATATAAAAACTAGACAAACGTGACGGAAGTTGAACTTCCATATATGGGTTGTCCCAGAAGCCACAGCGCACAAAACGTGATGACGTTTATCTTGACCGCTCGGTCCACGCATAGTTGTTAAATGAAAAAAAGCCATTAAAAAAAGAGGTGTCAAGTGTCAGCGTAGTAATCAGTGTACGTTATGTGTTAATATTTACTATACTATATTTATATACTATTAATAAAGTATATTTATACTATAATTCTACTATAAATTATTATTACTAATGATAATAATAAGGCAATGTTTCAATTCATACCACTGTTGTATATTTTATTTCTTCCAAAGTGATTTTAAGTTTCACAAACCAAGAATATTCTGTAATGTTACATCACGACCCAGATGTGTCTCGAACATTACTGAGAATTTATTGACAGAATAACAGCGGTACGAACATTATCAGCTGTTGCTGGACACGTCTGCTGTGTTGGCTGCAGTGGTCTGTGTGACTGGGCCTGGGGGAGCTAACCGCAGCTAGCTAGCTATTCCTGACAGCCCCCCGAAGTATATTCCTCTTACCCCAACCACCCTGGTGCATATAATCAATAATTTTAGGCACACAGGGTATGCATGTCGACCGGTTAACCCTATCCGTTAACCTCCATTGTGTTGATCTGCAGCCTCCGGTAACGTTACTGCAGCTATATAACACCCGTCGGCACTATGGTCGGCACTTGCGGAGCTTCTCAACTCCGAAAACGTTTGAACACATATTTTCGATTCGCTGCCAATTTTTGTAAAACCGCTGATCTTCGTAAAACCGCTGATCTTCAAAATCTACACAGTTGATTTCTTGCCTAAAAACTTCTCAGAAGTGTATTTAAAGTTCTGTTGTTGGCTTCTAAAGAATAGAACGGTTTGCATTAGGATCTATCATGTACGTAAGCCGAGATGAACGTCATCACGTTTTGTGCGCAGTGTCTTCTGGGACAAACCATATTTGGAAGTTCAACTTCCGTCAACTTCCATCACGGTCTGCAGGCTGCAGCTGGTTATACTTGCTTCAGAAACTAACGGGTGACGTCACAGACACTACAGCCATTTTTCTATAAAGTCTATGGTGGGACCCAGCAGGAAGTGATGGCGGGGTGCAGCGCTTGTGTAAGAACTGGAGCCGGGCGAGCGGTCAACAAAACCTTGCACAGCAGCCTCCCAGTGAACACGACATGACCGAACACAGGACCGAACACAGCCTCAGAGACCAACAGGGAGTCCAGTAACTCACTGAGATGATTTACACAGAGCTTCTTGATGGATAGCTTTACTTTTTGCTAAACGACTAACTGTAGCCTATGGCTGGTTACCTCGGTCGATTAGCCATGCTGCTAGCGGTTCAATTAGCTTACTCCCCACCCCGGGGTGCCAAGAGCCAAACCCAGCAAGAAAATCACCTCGGTAACATTACTGTATTCCCAGTGGTCAAACTGGCCTTTGTCGGTCTTGGAGGCTGTGCTCGCTCCCGGTCCAGCTGCTGTGTTCACTCACTGGGAGCTGGAACCAGGCAGCATAGAGTGTGCATGACGGGGTGGGGGTGTAAACACACAGTCGGCGCTACTGGCGACTGTAAACGCCAATCAATGTCAGCAACACGTCCCTCCCTAGCTTTGTGTTTTTACAGAAACACATATAAGACATATATAAAAAACATATGGAGGCAAATAGCACTGCGTTTTGTGTTTCATGGGAACTTTCTGCTTAAAGTAATCCCTATGAGTAATCCCCAATTTTACAAAACTGTAACATGATTACTGTACTGGACGGAAGACAGTTACTTATTTTGCATCATGATTACGTAACGCCGTTACATGTAATCTGTTACTCCCCAATCCTGCACAGAGGTCCCTTGACACACACACACACACACACACACACACACACACACACACACACACACACACACACACTCACAGGTACTCACTGAACATAATCAGACACAGTAATGCAAGTCAGGACCGTTTGTTTTCCTTTCTGGTTTCTATTCTCCCTGTTTGTGAAAACAAGGCTTGTTTCCTACTGGACCAGACAAAGACCTATTGTCTCACTGAAACCCTCTGGTAGTCTGCACGAAACTACAGTATTACACACGTCATTGCCTCTAAACTGAGACAGATTTCAGCTTTCTTCTTCAGTAGCAATTTGATTTCATTTTCTGTTAGCTGAAAACAGTGTGAAAACTGGTCCCATTGTGTCAGCTCCAAATTTTATTTTATGCTTAGCTGAGATTCACCTCTTCTCCTTATTGAATTTTCAGAATGAGAGGACTTCTCTTATTAGGCAATCTTGGATCGATACTGTGAGAACTTGAGTTGTAAATTGAAGAATTGTTTATATATATATATATATATATATATATTTAATTTTAGATGCTGTTATTGAGATACTGTGGGGGTTTTGCTGAGAACAGTGTTCCTGCTTGTTTAAAGCAAAATGTCTAATTTAAGTTCTAGACACAAAACAGAAGATTGAAGATGATTGAGCAGTGAATCTGGAGTCTTTTACATTTATATCACTTTTAATAACATGGTGATTAAATTAAAATTGCCTTCCAGAAAATTTCCATACCACTAATCTCAGTAGTGCAAGATTGTGTGTGGCAAAAATTACTAAAAGGTTTTGAGATACGCATGCGTCTTTGAGATATCTGACTTTCCCCCCAAAAAACATTGATCCTCTACTCTGGAAAATGCATTGAATATATTTCATAGGGAGTATTTATTAAGCAGATAGTTGTTCCAATGAAAATTGGTAACTACAAAGTCAGTGGGTTATCCAGAGTAACCTGGACATTGTTTCTAGACTTATTTTATAGGTACCGCTAGAGGTAAGTTTGAAAATATATTTTTTTGTAATTTGCGTAATTTGCGTAATTTGAACTGAAACGAATCTCTAGAGAACTGGAGTGATAAATGTGTCTGTCATGTCTCAATCATGGTTTCAGCTTTACAAGCCAAACATTAACTCCCAAACTCCTTGGCTCTTCATTCCAAAGTCTTTGTTTCATCATATGTAGAGGATCTGTTCTGCTCAATTTGGCCCTAACAGCTATAAAGTTACATTTGCAGGATATTCAAATTTAATGACACAGGGGCTTATTAGTATGTTTTGATTCGATTAACAGAGTCAAAGGTGGTTGTTTGCATTACTTCAAAGTAATTAATCATCATGCTCTTTTTTTATTGTTGTTCAGTTCCTCAATCTCTCTTTTTTCTTCTTTGGTAGATCTACTGGCCCCCATTACCTGGTAACAGAGAGGACTGCATTCAAACAGGGAAGGAACCACAGGTGAGCGAGAGACAGTTAACCCCTTAACATCGATTGTTGCAAATTCGCATCACACCGCTTTCATTTAGACTGCAGCCGAGATAGCGTATGCATTCCCCCAGTGCCAGTTTGTGCATATCCTAGGAACCTAGGAACGCAAACACTGATAATGCCTGACTAATTTGCATTATATCGAAATTTATATCCATTCTACAGGGTTGGGAGGGTTACTTAAAAAATGTACAATTACTAATTACTAGGGCTGTCAGCATTAACGCGTTAATCGCGATGAGATTAAGGACTGATCATAAAGTGTTTTAATTGTGTTAATCGCGTTAATTGCGTGTGTCAAATATTCTTATTTTACACTGTCACTGGTGCTGTTACCTGTTACTGTTGCATGCATACATAGCCTGTATGAAACTGAGAAAGCAGTCAAACTGAAACTCCTACATAAAGCAAGTGCTTTCTCATTGGTTTCAACTGAATTAAAAAATAATGTAGCAATGGAGTATTTTATTTGTTATGCACTTTATAATAATGTGTGTACATTTTGTACATTTTCGAAAGCAAGCTTAAGGAACACTATATTTCATTTACATTGATTTTACCTCAGTCTCATTGCAAATCTTTTGATTTGAAATAATCAAATAAATCTTAAAGTCAAGTTCAAAAACTAACTTTCTTTGCATTAATTTGATTTCCAATGAAGATACACTGGCAAGAATTGTTATCGTTAATACAGACTTAAAACAGTTAAGATCCATCCACCCATCGTCAACTGCTTATCCTGCATACAGAGCTGCGGGGGGTTGGAGCCAATCCCAGCTTACATCGGGCGAAAGGCGGGGTACACCCTGGACAGGTCGCCAGTCCATCACAGGGCCACACATAGACAGACAACCACTCACACTCACATCCACACCTAAGGACAATTTTGGAGACACATGCAAACTCCACACAGAAAGGCCGGGGCAACTGGGGTTTGAACACACGACCTTCTTGCTGTGAGGCAACAGTGTTAACCACTGCACCACAGATATATGATGATAATAATAATAATAATAATAATAGTAATAATAATAATAATCATCATAATAATAATAATCTATAATAATAGAATTTTAATCATGTGATAAAACATGCGTTTAATCGCGATTAAATGTTTATCGTTTTACAGCACTGCTAATTACTTTAAAAAAAATTTAATCAGTAATGTAAATAAATAATAGTAATGTAACCTGATTACTTTTACTTACTTTTGGATTACTTCAATACCAAATACGCAAATAAAGATAAAATGCGTTGTCTGCTCAGTGTATTTTTAGAGAAACATACAATTGTAAAATATCCCATTCCCATGAAATCAAAATCGATGTAATGCCTGAATGTTTTTATACGATGCCTTGCTCTAGGCCTATAAGTCATCTTGCAGGATCTGGCCCATCAATGACAAAAATGTTGTTTTGTAGGTATTATTGAAGGCATTTTAGAGTGTGTGATTTCCTGGAAAACAATTTTAAAATGTTGATGAATCATCCTGCACTGGGGGCCTGCATTCATTTAGTGTCCAGTGAAAAGCTTTCTTAATTTTTATGACGGTGCGAAAAATAGTGTTTCTGAGACGGGCCCCACTGATTACTGAACAAAAGCACACCTTCATTCATTTTACTGAAACTGGATCATATTTGATGGAAAATATTTAATGGTTTTCTCTCTGATGTTCCTGCTGCTCTGCCTCAACTCAGTGATTTATGAGTTTGGACATATAGCTTTGCTTGTTGCTGTAGCAAGTCTGCTGCAGGCAACGAAACTGGACCGAACACAGCCTCATTAGTTGAGCCAAACCGGTAAGAACACCAACTTTGTACTGCATTCCCAGTGGTCAAACTGGCCTCCGTCAGTCTCAGAGTCTGCGCTCGGGTCCGTGCCGTGTTCATTCACTGGGAGCTGGAATCAGTCCGCACGGTCCACACAGAGTCTGCATGAATGGGATGGGGTGTAACCACATTCAACTACTGACTATACTGGTAGTCAATATCTGCGACAAATCCCTCACTAACTGTGTGTTTTTACAGGAAACACGTAAATAGCAAATAGCAGTCCGCTTTCTGTTTAATGGAAACTTTGTTCTTAAAGTAATCCCTATGTGTAATCCCCATTTTTACAAAAGGTACCTGTAATCTGATTACGTCTTTATTTTCTGTACTGTTACAGAATACAGTTACTTAATCCGTTACTCCCCAACCCTGCTATTCTATGTGTGCACTCTTGCTGCTTGTAAAATTGGCTTTGCATCCAGTCCGAACACACCCATAGACTCTTTTTCTCTTCCTACTCCCTACTCATTGTTTGTTCTGAAATTTCCTGTCCTACATCACCTGCCCTCTAGTTGTCCTCATGTTTCCATTCTCCAGAGACCCAAACACCAGCCTAAATAGCACATACAGTAGAGGCCAGTTTTCTGCAAGATCCAAGATTTTGTATGGTGCTTAGCCCTCAAGACCTATACCTGTTAGTACCCATGTCAGTCTCTACTCTGCTCAGAGTGGTTCTCGTGTATCTTCCAGTTCCTGCTTGAACCCTTTCCTAGTTCTAAGTCATTTTAATGGGTTTGAGACCCAGGATACAAAATATTTATGAACTTGTGGCACTACAAGGCCCCTTTTTTAACAGCAGTCCCCAAATGGCACATGTTGTGGTGGGAAGTGCAGACTATGCCTCTAGCAGTAAAACAAAAAGTGCACAACTGGACTATTGAGTTAAAGATTCTATCGGGCAAGATCTTAAAACCAGGACACGGAGATGATTTTTTTGATACACTCTTATTAATTCCAACTTAGTGGTACAGTTCTTTATCGATAGCGATCAACATTTAAAATGCCACAAAAATAAATCAGAGCTGTGCTTGTGTAAAACTGCGGTGGATGAGAGACTGAGCAGATCAAAATATTGTGTTCTACATGTTTATGCTTATTAAACAGGTGTGTTGATAAAGTATTGCATTTTTACTCACAAAGGTTTTATTGCACCACATACTTACCCTAATGAGCGTAGTTGTCTTCAGCTTCGGTAGCGTCAGCTGATCTGCTGGCTGACTTCGCTCCGTGTTTGTGTGTGTGGAGACACAGAGGAGGTTGCAGGTCATGCAGCCCTTATTGTTGAGCCCCGGATTGGCTGTTATCGGTTCACCGCATGGAAACGAAATAGCTCTCCCATTAGCTACTTCCACTAGTTTACTGATGTTGTCATACATCAGATTATGCTGTGCCACATGGAGGTTGCTTCTGGGCCGGATGTGACCCACTGGCCGCCAATTGATTTGGGCTGGTGTACAGTAAATAGCATACTACAGTTTACTCCCATGTTGTATTTTGCTGACACTTTATTTCTACCCTACAGCACCCCTAACCCTAACCCTAACTGGTACTGTAGTCTCTGCTCCCACACAACTCTGGACATGTACAGTAATCTATATATTATTAATGACCTTAATGCAGTCCACAACCTCACTGTCAAGACAGTTTAATAATCAATGAATGATCTGTCCTAATGAAAAGAAATGCCAAGCACAGAGAGGAGCAGGGAAAGAGGATGCTTTCAGAAATGCATTGTAGTTATAGAGAAGGGAGGCAGAACTGTATCTCTTAATGAGTGCCCAAAATACAGAGGGGGGAGGAGGAATTAAGGAAACTAGAAGGATATAGGAAGGAAAGTATAAATTATTACGTGCAGGAGGACAAGGGAATGTGAGAGACACAAAAAACACAAAGGGAGGACAGTGTTTATCTCATTATGGCCATGTTTACAAGAGAAAAGAGGAGAGGGAGATTCTGAAGCAACCACATCAAATACTGTGAAGAAACAAACCATTTCTAGTTACTCCTCCAGGTTGTGGATGATGATCTGCAGTGGACAGATGTAGATTTAGCCAAAGCCAGGATGCCAATATGTGGTCCTTCCATCCGCCTCCTCCTGATAGCAACATGCTCCCCTTGTTCTATTTTGTTTTTGTTCAGTAATCTTGTTTACAGTGTAGCGTGGGTTGTGTGGGTGCTGCTGGTGTATCATATGGTACAAAAAGTCCCACGTGCCACATTGCAACAATCACAGATAAGACAAGAACTTGGTTCATGTTGACAAATACACATTTCAAAATGTCTGTGTTTTTTGCATTTTTACTGAATACTCAAGAAAGTAGAGTCATGATACGATTTGTTCCATTAAGTCGATATCGCAATATTGTCCACAATAATCGCAAAATGAATAATTTTTCCAATTATGCAGCTGTAGTATGTTCTGCATGCATGGCGTGAAAACACGTGTAGTCAGAAGGAATGAGAGTATGTGAAGTGGGAGCTCTGAATTTCCTCTCCACATGTGTGGCTATGGTTAAGACCAGTTCAAGTTACATGTACGCGATCTGTGTAGGATACGGGTTAGCTGGCGATTGAATCGGTTGTTGATGAGCCAGGCAGCGAAGAATTGTGGTTCCAGAGCAGTCTTTGCAATGCAGTGTTCAACTGTGCAGGTCGAAGGAAATCAATCCATCCTTTGTTTTCCTTACAGAGTTAGTAGCTTGACGCTAACTGGCTTGGGTGTTCCTGTTGCTTGAAAAGTTAGCTGCCAAGCTTGGTCGCAGGAACCTTAGTCAGGCTCTCGAGTTGCTACCATAAGAAAAAGAGTTTGGCACGCAAAGTTTCCTCTGAGCAGACTACACGGCAGTGGAGACCCTTGTTCCAAATCTGAGCGGTGAGCTGGTGAGAGTGAAGAGAGAGAACGCAAGGTGAGTTTTTCTTACCTGGTCGTGGGATAGTCCTGGGGAAACCAGGACAGGACTGACAGGAAGTGACTAGAGAAGACGTGCGACAGTAAACATACTGGCCAAAGTTTCAAAATACAGGTTCAGTTTAAGAAGACAATGAACAAATGAATCTAAAATCAAAAAAAGGACAAAACAATGCGCACCAACACACAAAGAAGGCAATAAAGTTATAGAAAATAGGAAATCTAGAACAGAA